TGGAGACAGTAATTTAGCAACGAATACAGTAATATTAATTAAAATATTTTTGAAGAAAAAAAAAAAAAAAAAAAACAGTCGATTAACAGTTAAATTACTGTCTCCGATAGTTAAATAGCTGCCGGAGACAGTAATTTAACAGCCAAGACAGTAAAATTAATTAAAATATTTTTTTTAAAAAAAAAAAAAAAAAAAAAAAGTCAACGCCGGAAACCCGTCGGTCAACGGCCGTTGACCGACCGGAAAAAAATTTCGGGAAAAAAAAAAAAAAAAAAAAAAAAAAAAAAAAAAAAAATCAACGCCGGAGACCGGCGGTCTCCGGCGGTCAACGCCAGAATCTGGCCGGAAAAAAAATATTTCAGAAAAAAAATTATTTTCTGAAAAAAAAAAAGTTTTGGGGGTTAATGTGATATATTTGTTAAAATCCGGGGTCAATGTGTAATATTAAAGAAGTTAGAGCATAATGGGTGGAATTGATACGAATTAGGGTTAAAATTGGGGTCAAAATTAAAATTTGGGTTAAAATTGGTTAATTGATGAAATTGGGCTAAATTGGGGTGTAAATCATGAAATTAGAGTTAAATTGGGTTTCAAATGAATTGGGGGTAATTTTGGTATATATAAAGGGATTTTCCTTATTTGCAAATAAGTTTGAATGGGGTGGATTTATTTGAAAGACAAAAAAGTTGGATGTCCCTATTTTAATTAAGTGCCCTTGTCATGGGCCTATTTGCCATTACCCCATTAAATTATATCTTGTCTTGGAAGACAAGTCACGTAGATAAATATTAATTAATGATTGATCAATAGAATTATTTCTTCTCGCCCAAGTTATAAGAGATAAATATCAATTAATTATTGGCCAATAAAAAGGTTTCTTCTTTTCCAAGTTACAAGAGATTAATATCAATTTAAATCAGGCCAATCAAATCGCGCCACGTCATCAAGAAGACCCATCAATGACTCTTGATCTACCACTATAAATAGGGACTTTCCCTTCACAATTCAAACACAACTGAAGAAGCAGATACCGTAGGAGCAAAATTCTCTTTACAATTCAAGAAGCAAGGAAGAAGAATCGTATGAGGTAAGATTATCTCTCTACATTCAAAGTGTTTTTCGTCAAATTCGAGGTGTTCTTGAGCAAATTCAAGGTGTTCTTCATCAAATCCAGCGTTCGATCCGAGATAACGGTGCTAAACCTTCGGATTAACGTTAATAAATTCAAGTCACGATCATTGGAAGATTGAAGGGCCAAATCCATCAAAAATTTCAAGATCTTCAAGTCAAATTTAGTCAAAGTTCAACGTTCGATCCGAGACTCAGGTCGCGAGACCCTTGGAAAACGTTATTCAAATCCAAAATCAAATCCGGAGAAGATCAAGTCAAAGACCCGATTCCGAAAATTAAAGTGAACAATATATTGTTCTAGAGAGAAGAATCAGATGATTAAAATAGAGATTGTAACCCGCAATTTATTTATTTTAATTCAATAAAAATTATCTTTGTTCGATTTTTCTTATTTGTTTATATCGCAGATAAAAATTTGTCGTTACACTGAGTAGTTTTCTATGAATGATATAATCATAGTTGTTTGATTTATCATTATAATGATACACGTGAATAAGTTAAATCTTGTGGGGACTTGTGAAGAGCTCACAAAGAATGCCGCTTGATTATATAATTTGAGATGAAAAATCTTTGGACTACAAAATTTTATCTCGGCCTGAAAATTGAATATTCATTATATAGAATATTTATATAAGGAAGTTTAATAAGATGTTATATGGATAAAGTCCATTCATTAAGTAACTTTGTGGTTGTCCCATTTTTCAATATAAAGAAACAACTCAAAGTAGTGGGTCTTGCAGTTGACGATTTTCTTTATGATCCACGCAAAGATACATTTTAAGTGAACATGTACTTATTTATGGTGGTGTTGCTGCCACTTGTTCTATCATTCTGTTGTAGGTGCATGAAGTGAAGAGCATAGATATATGATTGAGATCGATGGTTCTATATTGTTGGGTGAGGATAATGCTTGTTGCATTACACGAATTAGAATTGGCTCTAACAAACGTGGCATAATGTATAATTGAGGTTTTCTACATTTACGAGTTAAAGAAGAAAGACGATAATGCTAATCATCAATGACAATCAAGTAACAAGTTAGCATGTTCATGCATCGGAGGTTTGTCAATTATATCGTTTAGAAGATTATCTAAATTAAAAGTCTCATGCCGTAGTCAGGGGATCATGATCACGAAGTATAGCACTGTATTATTTTTCCTTCGTCCATTTTTTTTTCTGGTGGTTTTTTTTGTACATCTTTTAACGAGGCGGTGGCACGTTCGCAAACTTTACATGGAAATGTACTCTCTTTTCCTCCGATCAGGTTTTTTCCCACAGGGTTTTCCTAAGAATGTTTTTAACGAGACATATTTTATTAACGGTGGACATCCAAGGGCTGTATTATGAATCCTTCAGACTTATGTAGTGTGGAAATCGGACAGATCGGGTCGAATTGATTTTTTTTTTAAGTCTAAAATTCCTTTCGATCCCAATTCTGAAAATTTTGCAATTTAGAAATTCATTCCAATTTCGAAAAAATCAGTAATTTTAGAATTTCGGAAAAAAATCAGAAAACAATGTCAATTTTGGATTTTTTTTTCTTTCGAAAATTTCAGAAATTTAAGAAAAATCAGATGTGAAAGAATCAAAAGTTGCAAGGACAAAAACAAAGGTAAATCAATGAACACGTACAGAAAAATTCCGTTATCAGAAGTTTTTGGCCATTGAAAAATCGTATTCGATCTTTAAACCAATAAAATCAAAGAAAAATGTAGAAAAAAGAACCGTGAACTAAAAAATTGGAGAACACAATTTAGTATTCTAACGTCGGCCCTCTCATATGAAGACTCCACCTCCATCAAAGGCTCTTTGATTTTATAACTAGGTGGCATAAAATTTGGAGCACATTTTAGGATTTCTTGTGAGGAAAAGTGAAGAGGCAAAGAAGAAGACAATGGGAAAAGGGAAAACAATGAGCAAGATGGTTTCTAAGAGGAGAAAAAAATGTTATCGGGTATTAGGTCGAGCAAAGAGCTGCTGAGGAGAGAAGAAGAAATGAAATGAGTGTTGGAAATTTTGAGTGCTGACTTAATTTTGTATGATTATTTAAATTGATTAAATTTAGTTTCTCAAACATAATTTTTCATGAATGAGAAATTAATAAAATGACTTAAAATAATAAATGGAAAATGAAGAGATGGAATAATCACATTTGAAAAACATGGAGTTGTTTAAATGTAAATTGCACCTATGTACTATCACTAGTGTCTCCTATACTCTCTGTACTATAAAATGCGATAAAGTGGACCCTGCCGTTAAATTATGTTAGAGAATCCGTATTATCAAAGTTGACTGACTATTGCACTAGATGTTGGACAATTTTAGAAGAAAATACCCCTATGGTTGTATATAAAAGGTGTACCTTTTTCTTTCTCTCTTGTACTCAATTTACTCTCATTTTTTTTCATGTTTCTCCCCTAATTTTATTTTCCTCAGCCTAAAAATTTCATCAAAATTTCTGAAAAAAAAAATTATATTCTAAAATTATTTAAAATTTCCTTTTAAATTTGTGATTTCTTTTGCATATGTACCCAGTTTATAAATATCACCCAACATTTATGAGTTTCTTTTATTTTGGATAATATTTTTAAATTCTTTTCAAATTTCTGAAAAGAATTCTTTTTGAACTTTCAGTCTAAAATTCTCAATATAAAATGTTTCCCATAGTTCTAATTCTCAAAATTCATGTATTTGAATTTTTACGTCCAAACACTACAAAACACATTTTTCTAGAACCATTTATCGATGCCACCAGAGTGTTAAGTAATGAAGTACAAAAATTGGCCGAGTAAAAGAAAATGGTCTATTTATATTATATAAATGTAAGGGTAAAATTGTAATTACGCTACACAAACTAACGAGATTTAATGGTTGACCGTTAAGTTGATGGGCCATTTCGTCGCATTTTATAGTACATGGAGTATATGCGACACTGGTTATAATACTACATGTAGACACGGCCACGGGCCGGTTCGGGCCGGTTCCGGGCCGGTTCAAACCGGTTGACGGTTCACATTTTCCGGAACCGGAACCGGCCCGTAGTATGGGCGGTTTAGCGGGCCGGTTCCGGGTCGGCCTGGAAATTTTGATTTTTTTTTTTTTTTTTTTGAAATATTTTATGAATAAGTAAATTAAAAGAAATACTTTTAAATAGAAAAAGAAAAAGGAAATAAATGAAAAGACTTGAATTTAATTTTAAATTCAAAATTTTAAAGATTTCGAATTTAAAATGTTTTTTTGAAATATTTTATGAATAAGTAAATTAAAAGAAGTACTTTTAAATAGAAAAAGGAAAAGGAAATAAATTAAAAGACCTGAACTTAATTTTAAATTCAAAATTTTAAAGATTTCGAATTTTAAATGATTTTTTGAAATATTTTATGAATAAGTAAATTAAAAGAAGTACTTTTAAATATGCACCATTTCTCAGAACCGGGCTGTCCCGGGTAGGACGGGCCGGTTCACGGGTCCGGGCCGGTTCACTCGGTCAACGGGCCGATTTGGGCCGTCAACGGGCCGGTTCGGGCCGGTTCCGGGCCCAAAACCGGCCGGTGGCCGTGTCTAACTACATGGGTGCAATTTATATTTGACACTGAAAACTAAGTTAATGACATACAAATTATATAAAGAATGCATTAATAGTTTCAAGTTCATCATCAACGATCTAAAAACTTGTATCATATAATTTCCTTTAATTGTTAGAATAATGGTAAAATACATTAAACAAATGTTGATTTTCGCATTAAAAAAAAAAAAATCAAGAAAGAAGAAAACAGAACACGAGCACCGGCAATAATTGTTCACGCGGTAAACGAATTTAAATAAATAAACAATAAAATAAATAAATAATAAAATATATATTATTTGCAATAAGTGTGTGAATGTTTACAGCTTTTTAATGGTATCGCAGCAGTCGCCCCCAAAGAGGACTTCGCCCCCAAAAGTCCGAAGCGAATCGAAAGTCGAAACCCCCAAATTTCTCTCTCTTCCTCCAAAAACAAAAAAAAAACACAGATACACACAGTAGTGTGTGTGAGAGAGAGAGAGAGAGAGAGACCTTGCTGAGAGAGAGTGTGTGTGGAACACAATCGAGAATCCAATCGAAAGTGTAGGAGAAAAAGGAGGAGTAATTCTTTCGGTTTTTTTGGGTAGTGGGAGTTAGTTATTATATATATACATATATATAAATGGGGGGAGGTACTTTCGTGGACGGTGTTCGTCGGTTGTTCCATCGTCGGTCGACATCTGGCGCCAACAATTCCTTAGCTTCTTCTTCTTCTTCCAATATTAGTATTACCAATGAGCGTCACCCGCGTTCAATTTCAATTTTGACGGAAAATCGAGAGGAAGACGACGAACAAGGCGGCGGCCTTACTATTGTTGAGGATTTTGATTTCTCGGGGCTTAAGTTGATCAAAGTCCCCAAGCGGGTTGATTTCCCCGTTTTGTTGAATTCCGCCATGGATTCACATAAAAAGGTTGCCTTTTTTGCCTCTTTTGTTTATCCTTTTATGGGCCCCTTTTGTTTTATTATTTGTTCTTTTGCTATGGGGTTAGATCTGTGTTATTTGTGTTGATTACTTCTCGGTGTTTTTAAGTGAATCCACTATTTGCATTATACGATCCACGAAATTCGGATTTGAGATTTCATATATATATATTAATTTTTTTGGCAGCTTTTGGCTGGATCGAAGTGTTTTTGGGTTTTGAATATTCCTGATTGTGTAAAATATTTGAAATTTCTTTTGCTTTTCTACGTGCGATTTGCTAACAAGGAGAAAGAAGAGTGAGAATCAGTCCGTCCAAATGATTGGGGCTTTCGTATTCTCTGCTTTTTTTGCATCTTATATTAGTTCAATGTTAAGTAAATTTCACAAATGGTGGTTTCCGTGCTATTTAATTGGGACCGCCTAAGGTTGTTTTGTTGTTATTCCATCCAACAATTCGTCTTCAAAGACAATAAAGAATTTTGCCATTGTGATTTGTTCTAATCAAGTACCTCTTCTTACAGAGTAATCTAGAAACTGAATTCTTCACCGAGTATGGAGAGGCGAGTAGGTATCAGGTTCAAGAAGTTGTAGGCAAAGGTAGTTACGGTGTTGTAGGGTCCGCAATCGATACTCACACTGGAGAAAGAGTTGCCATTAAAAAGATAAACGACGTGTTTGAGCATGTTTCTGACGCGACACGGATCCTCAGAGAAATCAAGCTACTTCGGCTGCTTCGCCACCCCGATATTGTCGAAATAAAACATATAATGCTTCCTCCTTCTCGAAGAGAGTTTCGAGATATTTATGTTGTTTTTGAATTGATGGAATCTGATCTTCACCAAGTAATTAAAGCGAACGATGACCTAACGCCAGAGCATTTTCAGTTTTTCCTGTACCAGCTTCTGCGTGGGTTGAAGTATATTCACACAGGTCGTAATCTGTTCTTCGGTTACATCTAGAAACTTCCTTTTATTCGTCTTGATATATTATATTGACGTATATTTTTTTTTTCTTTCTGTTTTCAGCTAATGTGTTTCACCGAGATTTAAAGCCGAAGAACATACTTGCTAATGCTGACTGTAAGTTGAAGATTTGCGATTTTGGTTTGGCACGTGTATCGTTCAATGATGCCCCGTCAGCAATATTTTGGACTGTAAGTCTTGGGCCTCATTCGGTCACCTATATCGTATTAATTTGGATTAGATGAGATTGAAATAATTCCTTATAGAATAACCAAATATTTAGCTAGTAAGATGTTTGGTTCCTTAGATTAGATTTTGTATTAAATTTGTTCAATTCTGGTATTATATGTGATTGTCTATGAAACCTTTTACTTTTCCTGTATCTGTCTCGTTTGTAACCGTGTTAACTGGTGTTTTCTTTTCCTTTTCTCTGTTTTGATAATTTGTAAAAATATCTACTTAACAAAATTAAAATATGGGTTAAAAGGATAAAATTATCGCCCCTACAAAATTAATTATAGGGGCAGGGGTGCTGGTAATTCAATGAAATAGAAATTTCTATTTTGAAATGTGGCTTTCTAATTTCTAACCTTTTGATTTTGGTTTACAATTTTGCTATAGGATTATGTTGCAACTCGATGGTATCGTGCTCCTGAGTTATGTGGTTCCTTCTTCTCTAAGGTAGGTCTATATATTATTAGATTTTCAAGAAATGTGTGTAACATGATATATATATATATATATATATATATATATATATATATATATATATATATATATATATATATATATATATATGCAGAATAAATACCGATTTTTGTTTGATATTCTTGTTTGCAGTATACTCCTGGTATTGATATTTGGAGCATGGGATGCATATTTGCGGAGATGCTAACTGGAAAACCGTTGTTCCCCGGGAAAAACGTGGTGCACCAGTTAGATTTAATGACAGATTTACTTGGCACTCCTCCTCCCGAATCCATTGCCAGGGTTTGTTAATTCATGCAATTTTCAATTAGATTCTCAACAAATACTTTCTACTTTAGTTTAATATAAATAGTGAATCACCCAAGTTTCCATTTTGGCATTACATTTGTAATTGAATTTATTGAAATCATAATGGCAGATCAGAAACGAGAAGGCGAGGAGATACCTAAGTAGTATGAGGAAGAAACAACCGGTTCCATTTGTGCAGAAATTTCCGTATTCTGATCCTTTGGCCCTTCGGCTACTACAACGGCTCCTTGCATTTGATCCTAAAGATAGACCAAGTGCTGAAGAAGTAATTTTTCAATGGCATTTTGGTTATTTTATTATTCTTACAAATTATAATGATAATATGCCATATGAATTATCCTGGGATGTTTACGGTTTTTGCAGGCACTAGCTGATCCCTACTTCCATGGGTTGTCGAATGTGGACCGTGAACCATCGACTAAACCAATATCGAAGCTTGAGTTTGAATTTGAGAGGAGAAAACTGGCTAAAGAAGATGTTAGAGAGTTGATTTACAAAGAGGTAGCATAATATTTGCTTGTTGATTGCATGTTATTAGAGTTTTTATCGACCCTTTCTTATTATGAAAACTTGTATCTCAAGCAAACAGATTCTAGAGTATCATCCGCAGATGCTTCACGAATATATGCGAGGTGGAGATCAAACTAGTGGCTTTATGTACCCAAGGTTAGGCCCGTTATGCAATGCTAGATCAACCGTATTATTTCCTTTGATAGCGTTTGTGATTAAAGCTCATATATATTAACGGTGTACCATTTTTTCATTGAATCATTTTTCTCACGAGTATTTTAGTGTTTTCTTTTGCCACATTCATTATCAAATTGATTTTCTATTGGATATGAAGATATGTGGCTATATTTTATGTTGGAATATTGAGAAAGAAAAATTGGAGATATATGATACACTGTCTCTATCGTTTTATTGTATGTTAGTGGGGTTGATCGGTTCAAGCGGCAGTTTGCCCATCTTGAAGAAAATTATGGTAAAGGTGAAAGAGGAGGCACTCCTCCGCTACAAAGGCAGCATGCTTCTTTACCAAGGTATGTACCTGGATTTCTTTTCTTCTTCAGTTAAACAGCTCCGGTACTGCATATAATAATAGTTTCTCTTCACTGTACAAATATATGCTATATGTTCGATAACTTCTAATAATTAATTTTCGAGTTAGTTTTTTTTTTCCTGGTATTTATCATAAAAAAAACATAGGTCTATGTTTCAGAAGAGAGGGTGCGTATCATACTCTTTCTCTTAATCCACTTTGAAATGTATCTTTGTTTTCCTTTCATACTAACAGAATTAAATGATACGACGTTGAACAATGGTTTAATGTTAAATTGTTAATAGCATATTGTCTTAGTTTTACTTATCAAAAAAAAATATTGTCTTAGTTTTAAAGCATCAGCTAAGATGATTAGTTACCTATATATTATGGCCCGGTTTGATACACTCTATTGATCTTGATTTATTTGTAATGAAGTCCGTTTTTCGATGCAATGAATTGCTTGATGGTGGATCAAAACCCTTCAGGGTAGGATCCAAAATCCACCCCAATAATATCATTCCTATCAAACGGGAACTGTGTGTCATGCCAATAATCGAGCAATTCCGTATGCTGATAATTTAATCTTAGGTTTTGTTAATATCAGTTAATACTGCTAACTATCGATTGTAATATCGTGCCAAATACTGATGGAATGTTTTTGTACAGTCAAAATAGTGAAGCAATTATCTAATATATGTACGTTTGATCTTCAAGGTTCTATGATTTCATAGAGTCATATTATCGAAATCTAGTGTGACGGGTTTGGGTGTGGTTCAAATGTACCGTCAGATTAGACTACTTAATCGGAATAAAAATATACGTGATATTAAAGAAAAATCCAGATGATGATTATGATAATAATACTAAATGTTTATTTTATGGGTAAATAAATGTCTTTATGTTCAAATTTCTACTGTGGTTGTTAGAGAGCGGGTCCCTGCACCGAAAGATGAAGTTAAAGAGAATGATTTCGAACAGAGAACCGCAGCTTCTGTTGCAACAACTCTCCATAGTCCACCACGGGAAGGTGAAGGATCGGAAAATATAAGTGGAAACGAACAAAATGGGCCGAACAAGGGAAACTATAGTGCTCGTAGCTTGTTAAAGAGTGCAAGTATTAGCGCTTCGAAATGTGTAGTTGTTAAACACAAAACAGACGCAGAGGTATTTTTCAAGCAACAGCTTCGTTATTGTTATTTTGTTTATTTTCCAATACAGAGTTTTGTCGGTTTAATGGATAATAAACTTATCATCGTTTGTTCGACAGAGAGAATCGTTAGAAGAGAACGGTGAAGAGGTTGATAGGTTGTCGGAGAAAGTTGCTGCTCTCCGTGCTTAATTTTTGGAGTCCGATTTTTTCTCAATATTTATTGATTAGAAGGAGAAGTTGTTTTCCGTCGTGATATGGATCAGTTGTTGATGGATGTACCATAACTTATCTATTTGATGATTTAATCGAGTTGTACAAATATGATCGGTATACTGTTTCTATTCATCAGATATTTATGTATTATAAGAAACTCTGTTCTCTGATGTAGCATACAAATATGTATTTATAATAAATTGTTTGAGAACTTGGGTATCCGTTTTGGTTGTTGTATTTGAAATGAAGGTTTTTAAATTATTGTACTAGAACACTTGAGCATGTTTGGATGAGTTTATCTTACTAAGAGTGAAATTCTTAATCTGGTTAAATTAAATACAAATCTTCAAAATCAAGCACAGTTCAAAACAAATGGTTTGTAAATAGAATAGCCGCGGGTTCTTCAGCAATCCTTTATATTTTTCAAATTACAAAAATCGACATCAACATGTCGATTTTTCGTCAAAAAATCAACATCTAGATTTATGTCGATTTTTCACCAAAAAACCAACATGTACAGGTCGTCTTCTTCTTCTTCTTCTTGAAAAATCAACATGTACAGGTCCGCGGGTTCTTCAGCAATCCTTTATATTTTTCAAATTACAAAAATCGACATCTACATGTCGATTTTTCGCCAAAAAATCAATATCTAGATTTTTGCCAAAAAATCGCCATTTATATGTCGATTTTTGCCAAAAAATCGCCATTTATATGTCGATTTTTCAACAAAAAATCAACATGTACATGTCTTCTTCTTCTTGTTCTTCTTCTTGTTCTTCTTCTTCGAATTCGAATAACCTTCCCCATATAGGTAATCCTATTGGTGGAAGGGCAATACCTCCAATAAGGCGCAGTCTGTTCACTGTTGCAATACTCATTGAGATACTACCCTAACGGATAAAGGTCTCGACTCTACTGCAGTTCCACAGAACTAGTGACCCACATGAACACCTTGAAAAGTTTTACGCCATGACAGATCTATATGGCCCAACTAATGCGGTGATGTGCAAGATATTGCGCTCAACTCTCTCCGAACTAGCATTGAGCTGGTTCAACTCGTTACCCACTGGGTCAGTTGAAGCTCTCTCCCAACTGACGGATCGCTTAACCAACCATTTCGCTATCAACAAAGAGTACGCTAAGACTCTCACATACCTCTTCACTATCACCCAGAGAGAGGGCGAAACCCTCCGCAACTACATTCACCGATTTGTAGAGGCAGCTCATGAAGTTCCTAACGTGGGAGAAAGCATGCTCTCTGAAATCATTCAACAAAACTTGAAGCAAGGTAGATTCAAGGAATCTATCGCCGGAAGACCTCCAGTCACTCTGGATGAGTTATTGAGTCGCGTTGGGAAACACGTGCGCATTGAAGAAGCTTCGACCATCGCTCCTCCCAAGAGAAAAAGAGATAAAGATCATTTCGACACCAGGAGACGAGATGATCGACGACAATCGTCGACATCTCATGGACGATCTCCTTCTACGCCTCTGGACTTCCAATGACGTAAATGACACTTGGAGCTTCTCTAGCCCATAACATAGTTAGTGATCACATTATCCTAAACTGGGCGGCTATCCTACCCTAAGGATGATACATCCCCTAACCTCTCTACATCAATCGGACGAAATACCTACATCATCTGCTTAGTATGAGTTTATTATTTCAAGCGATACGCTCCCTACATTATTTATTTCCCTTCGCCTCAAGTAGGCCTGTAACATTCACATTTTCAATCAATGAATAAAGCAAGTTATTTCCCTTACTCTCGGAATTATTGCTCTTTCACTACACAATTATCACCTCAAGTCGACATTAACCCTGAGAACACTTAGAGACGTTATGATGATCTATATAGCCTAACCAGCTTGATTTCATAAAATTCTCTACATGTTTTTATAGGGTTCTAAATTTAAAACGTGGTCAAGGTCCTACCATACTTACGACCCATGAGGTCTAACACGGGGCACGATCCTCATAAAAAAAATCTTGAGAGACTGATCTCCTCGTCAAGTACATAACGCACAATGTTAAATGTAAACACATACAAGCAACACATCAAATCAATGACAATGTTAAACAATATAAACGTTAAAATGAATAGTAGTGGGCATACCCATCTACTCCAAGTATTAAAATAGAAGAATTATCATCTACATCGCTGCCCACATCATCGACATCCTCTACTTCTTCTCCCCATCAGGAATGGTCGGCTGCACCCATCGGATGAGGTCCTCATCAACCCCAACCGCGTCGCAAAAACGAGATAAACTCCCACGAATAGATAACTCGCCCAACATCACTATCCCACGGCGAAAACAACTCCCACGAGAAGACAACTTGCTTAGACCCCTCGAGGTCATTTGACGAACTAGTCGCTATATCGTCGCTCCAAACATTAACCCTTAACAAGGGCGAGCGCGTCACAGCACGCGCGAGTAGGGCCGCATATCTTGCAATTTTCGTGCCTCGGTTTGCGCGCGCGAATAAAGAAAAAGAAAAAGAAAAAAGAGGACAGTGCGTGAACAACACGCGCCAGTCGCGCGCTCGCCTCAAAAAAAAAAAAAAAAAAAAAAACAGCAGCGGAGCGCCTGCACAACACGGGCCCAGTCAATCCGTACTTCCGCATGACGCACGCACGCACTCTTCCCCCCTCAGCGCGTCGCGCATCTCCATGCAACACCCATTTCTCTCTCCTCGCCTCGGGCTCTGTGCACGGCTCCTCCTCACAGAATATTCACGCGCCTTCTAGCTGCGCGGCTCCCCTCTCACATGGCAGTCCCACGGCTCGATTCCCCGGCTCGCCAGCCTCCTCCCCTCCATCCAATCGTGCGTCTTCCAAGGTTGTCCAATCACGTGCGAATTTCAACGCGCTCCACCAAATCTCGCGCGGATTTTTACGCACTTCAGCAAATTGCACGCGGATTTCAATGCGCTCCACCAAATTGCGTGCGCTCTCTAATGTGTCTCACCAAATCGGCGCTAGCTCTTCAATGGGTAAATAAAATTATTCCTCCACGCCACGCCAACGATTTAATGGAACACTACAACATCGATTTACTCTCGACACGATCCGGTACCCTTTTCGACTCGGCTCTCACATCGACTCGAGAGTGAGGGGCTAATGATATGCCTAATTGGGCCAGCCCAATAAGCCTACAATTTCTCTACCTATTGGGCCACGAGCCAGATTTAGAAGAACATTATTACGAAAGTCCAATCACCTTCAAATAATATTTGGGGCCCAACAAATTAACCTCAGCTCAATCGACAAGATATAAATAACGATTTAATTCATTTGTTAAAGGTACGTACGCCCTGTTATCTGAACAATACTACAATTCATATTCTCTCAACTATTTATACAATCCGCACGTCTGAGTTGAGCGTCGGAGGGGTTTCGGCCGGATCAACACCCGGCTTAGTTCACGTGTTCTCTGTTCACAGGTATCTCAGGACCATTTCGCACGTGAGCAGTGATCCACTTTGCTCTCCCAGCACCTTCTACTTCAACTACTCGTGGTGATCTGATTTTTAGCACCATCAAATCATTATCTGAAACTATTAAAATAAAGTAGAATCATGATTAACTTATGATTATTGATATGATTGAATGGTTTTTATAGTATTGTATTACATAATGAATGGTATTTATAAGAACAATAAAATATTCTTAATTATTTGATTATTCTCTTGGAATAATAATAATGATCATGCACTAATATCATTATATGTAATTTTTACTCTAGTATGAATATTCTTTATTTTTGTAATTGTAACATAAATAATAATTATAATTGAAACATTAATAGTAAATATGGCCTACGTATATAATAATAACAAAATATAATCATGAACATAAGTTTTAGAAAAACAAACATAAACGAAATATACCGACAAAAAGCATCTTAATAAGATTAACCAGATAAACTATAAGCATACATTAAAATTAATTAGATTTTTTTTTGACCAAATATTTTTTGTATGAATAAAATGGGGCCTCGTTAAAACTTTATTTGGCCATACAAGAAAAAAGTACCCCTGATGTTTAGTGATCAAGAAGCAGAATATTGTTTCCACAAAAAATGTGCAATTCCATCCCTAAATTGCGCTTGAGCTTGAACTATGGCTTGTATTGGATGACCTTTGTGGTAGAATGTATTCACATCAACGTCTTCCGGTTCAAGTTCCTCGTTGAAAATTTCATCATCACAACTGAACTTTCAGATATAATTGTGTAAGACACAACAAGCAATGACCATTTCCACTTGCCTATGAATCTTGTAGCTTCGCATTCCCCATGCCAAAGTTGGAAAACGCTTCTTCAAAATGCCAAAACAACGTTCAATACAATTCCTTAAACGTGCATGTGTACAATTAAATATCTCATTTGGTCCAGTCATTGCTCGAGTACCGCTATTAAATTCTTCTATATGGCGCCTACAACCTCTATACAGCACAAGAAAACACATGTACTTCGTATAACCAGCATCAACAAGGTAATATTTTCATGTGACACTTTAGACTTAGTATATATATTTCAATTCTTGTATAATATAAAGTACACACGACATTACGTTGAAAATAAATGAGTACCATGTGGTGTAAAAAGAAACTTTGGATCATAAGCAATGGCATTACGAAGCACCATAACATCATTAGCACTTCCCTCCCATCCGGCATATACGCATGTAAACATGAGATCAAAATCATATATTGCAAGCACATTCTGCGATACATGTGACTTTCTTGATCTATCTGCATTGTGCTTAGAGGCAGGAACCCATACTGGCACTAATGTTCCATCAATTGCACTAATGACATCCTTAAGTATGTATTTAAAGCTTAAATAATCAATATAATAAAATAATTGAAAAAATAATGATAAAAAGACGGAGTAAGAGTGACTTACCTTGAAGAACGCAAAACTGGTTTAAGCTCCCACTCTATAGCTCTTGTGTTGATAAGATTATGTTATCCTTGTCTCCTATTATTCATTGATTAGAACCAACACACTCTTTCTATGATTTTTGAAATGCGGCGGATATATGCAAGCCCATTTTTTTATTAGATCAAATACACATAAAGGGGTTTATTAGTTCAAGCCCGTAATTAATCTAATCTTATTACATCAAGACCAAAGAGGATGAATATACCCTTATTCACAAACAATACCCAAATACATACAAACTCTATTTTTAATTTGTTCAAGACCAAAAAATTAGAAAAAGAAAAAAAAAATCACGACTGCCCACCAGACCGCCGCAACGCCGACCAGCGAGGCTTCCACCGCACCGGCGACGACCAGCGATCCACCCACCGCCCCACCACCAACAAGTAAATCCTTTTTACTAAATTTTTATTTGTAAATTCTAAAACATTAATCGAGCATTAATTCTTCATAAATATGCGTGGATGAATATTAATATATGCTTATTTCTTGTTGGGTTGCAATGCTTTAGCCGATTTTGGCAAAAACAATTGAGATTGAAATTGATTTTATTGTGTGTTTTCGTTGGTTTAGACCGATTTTGTACACGAAAATCGGTGTCGTAATGCCGATTTTTGCTAACCAAATTGGCGACACAACGTCGACTTTACAAGTAAAAATCGGCGTTGTAATGCCGATTGTTTATTTTTTTTTTATATTTTGTATTTTTTATTTGGTTTTGAATTTCATTAAGAGTAAATTAGTATTTTTATGTTGGAGATCTTGAACTAATAAAAAAATAGGCTTGCAAATATCCGCCGCCTTTTTAAATGGGAAATTCTATGCTACACCTGGTGAATATAACCAGTGAATATAACCAGGCACCCTAATTAATAAGATTCCCACTACGGGTTCAGTTATGGCCCAATGGGTTTTTAGAAATATAATTATAAAATAAATAAAAAAATACACATGTCAAGAAAAGAGCCACCCGGTGAAAATCACCAGGTGTAGCATCGTATTCCCCTTTTTAAATCTTCATGGACTTCATATACTTGCTCAAACATTGCATTTCATGTAAAAACCTATTTGCAACCTATTTTCTTCTTCTTCTTCTTCTTCGTAATTTACTAAAATTTCCCTTTGCATAATCTAATGTTCCACAATTTATAATCCCAAATCCCAATATATAGTAATTAAAACACAAAAACTCAATAAATGGACTATAAACAACCAAAATTCGAAAATAATGGTAAATGACATCAAAAAATTCTCAAATTAAAATCTAAGACTCTCAATTAACCAAGTTTCAAGATTCTCAAATTATTTTACAGTTATAATTTTTTAATAATTTAAAAACCTAGAAAATTCATTTATTTACCAAAATTTGATTTTCTTCCATAGATATAATTGTGCCAACACTATTCTTCTTTCTTCTTCTTCCACATAACCCAACACTTGTCTTCTTCTCTCCTCACCTCTGACGCAACACCACCACCTCCAATCTCCATCTTCTTCCTATTCACTTTTATTTTTCAAAGAAAATCAAAAATTACCATGATGGTTCCCTATTTA